TTTCTCTCTCTCTCTCTCCCTTTCTTTCTCTTTTTCTTTTTTCCCATTTCTATCTCTTTCTATCTCTTTCTTACTCTTTCTTACCGCATTTCTATCTCTTTCTATTTCCCTGTTGCTCTCTTTCCAACCCCCAACTCCCCCACCTTTTACCCCCGTTTTCTTTACTTTCAGTCTCAAGCTCCTTCTCTCGTGTCCATGTATAAAAGCACCTTACACCATTTTGTAGCCCCCGTATATGCTATCTTTCTCTCTCTCTCTCTTTTTCTCTCGTGGAAAACATCCCCCCCTATCTCCCCTCACTCCCATTCACTCACTCACTCAGCCAACCCAACCACCCACCCCCACCTACCTACCTACCTACCTACTTCCCTACCTCCCTCTTTTTCTTTCTCTTTTTCTCTTACTGTCTTTCATTCTCAGCGCCCTTCCTCTTCTTCCTACACACTCTCTCTCTCTCTCTCTTTTTTTCTCTTTTTCTCTTTTTCTCTTTCTCTTTTTATTTCTCTTTCTCTTTCTCTCTCTGGAAACGTTTCCACGGTCGATCTTTTTGCGGATTTACACCTGTTGGACTTCTTCGATACTCCTCCTCCTTCCTCCCCTTTCCTAACCTCCTTTTCTTTCTTTCTTTCTTTCTTTCTTTCTTTCTTTCTTTCTTTCTTACCTTTCTTACTTATTTACTTTCTTTTTCCCGCCCATTCTTAGAAGAAATCTTCAATCTCGTGAACTTGAAATTCCTCGATCACGTTTTCTTTTTTATCTCTTATCTAATATCATTTACTTTTCTTTTTTTTACTATTCTAACTCAGCTGTGATTTCTCAATTAGAATTCATGAATATTCTTCTATACGTATTTATTATTTATCATTTTAAAGATTATTAATTATAATTCGTTTTCAATAATAGTGTGCGCGTGTACTTATCAAGAAACTTGAGGGTACATTATTTAACAATTTTAATAATAATCGACGAGAACTTTTCGAACAAATTTAACAGCAAACATTTAATCGACGTTTCTTAAAAAAACACAAAAGAAAAGTGAAATAAATTAAAAAATATACTAATCGGTAAAGAAACTATATTCGTGACATCCAATTATAACATTACACATTTGTCAGTCCTGTTTAACAACCAAGCAACAAAATTGAAGATAAAATATACATGAAATGTGGGAGTGGTAGGTGGTGTTCTGTAACACCAACACCAACAATAGTATATTTTTCCCAAATTCGATGATTAAATTAACTACATTACAAATGTGCAAGTATATACCAATAACTGTTTAGATAGGTGTGTGTATAGTCTAATGTCAATATAGTAGAATAGTATAATAAAGTCTGAAGTAAAAAAAGGGATTTTCTTTCTCTCGTTTCGCGGCAATTAGTAGGGTATAATTGGTCGGGCGATGCCCTTGAACCCTAAGTATTGATTGGTGAGGTTGGATTCTACCGTTGGTTTTCCCTCTTCCCTCCGAACCGATGCCACCATCTCCACCACCAGCAGCAGCAGCAGCACCACCACCACCACCACCACCACCATCACCAACCACCCCTGTACATCCACCTCCGGAGAGCGAACGACCAACCATCTCCGACAGGCCTCTCACCCTCAGCTTGCTTTTACCCTCATCTCTCTTACTCACTCACTCGCTTGCTACCCTGCACTACCCTCAGCACAACCCTCTTCACCAGCACCCGATCGTCCGTGTTTCTCGCAGCCCCGACGCCGTCGTCGTCCTTGTCGCAACGTGCCGTTCGACCTTTTTTTTCCTTTTTTCTTTCCTTTTCTTTTCTTTTCTTTTCTTTTCTTTACTCTTTTCTTTACTCTTTTCTTTACTCTTTTCTTTACTCTTTTCTTTTTCATTCTATTCTATTCTATTCCATTCTATTCTATTCTATTCTATTATATTCTTTTCTATTCTTTTCTATTCTATTCTATTCTGTTCTTTTCTTTTTCTTTTTCTCGCATCTCTCATTCTTTATCTGAGAGCCTACCTCTTTTTATTCGTTTAATCGAACACTGAAATGCTGTTTTCCGAATGAGTGGGAGTGAGAAAGAGAACGAAGGGATGGATCTGTTCTTATTTTTATTTTTATTCTTTTTGTTATTGTTCTTCTTCTTTTTCTTCCTTCCACTTTTACCTTGTTGAAAGATGCTAACGGCGATAGTCGACTTTTAAGATAAAAACGATCTTCCGCTTGAACAGAGGAAATATATATATATTTATATGTATGTATATATTTCTTTTATTTGCATTTCTCTTATAGAGATCAATCACCTTTAAAGGGATTCTTTTTTATTATTATTTGGTATTTTGGTATCATCGATTCATTTTTATTTAACATATATTATTTATTTTTATTCGTTCTCGTTTTAATCATCTATAAATTTGTCATCGACATCAAATTATTATTTAAAAGAAAAAAGAAAAAAAATGTATTTTAAAATATACAAAGTTAATAAAATATATAAAGTATAACGCGGAAAAAATGGAAGCAAATCATAAATGTTTTAGATCGTTTTAGGTTTACTTTGAATGATTCATATGGTATATAACCGTAAAAGATTTTTCTTCTCTCTCTTTCTCTCTGTTTCCCTCTCTCAGTCATGGGGCGAGACGATTTGCCGTCTCCGGGGCGCTTCGATCGTAATTATTCGTCGATAACGAAATCGTCCTAGCAGCCTCGTCGTCGTCGTCGAGCATGCCCGACGCAGACGTTCGATTACCATGCACCCCACGACCAACATCGACGAAGCCACCACGGCTCGTCGAGCCCCAACGGCGAACGATTCGCAAACGTTTCCCCTAGACGATTTTATTAGCGTTTCTCTCTCTCTTAAATAATCTAACTAATCGCTCCTCGGACAAACAAATATATATGTCTTCCATTTTTCTTTTTTTTTTACTTTTTCCCTCCATTCGGTATTTCACACAAATCTAATTACGTTAATAATAATCAAGAAAAACAAACTCTAATTTAATTAAATATAAATATCAAGCGAGACTAGATCCTTTATACATTAGTTCAAAATAATAATATATTTCTCTACAGCAACGATAAAGATATAAATCTAATATATACACATTTTCTTGTAAATAATTTTTGAACGAAGCATTTCTATTAAAACATAATAATTAATCAAATTCCTAATTAAAAAAAAGAAGAATTATCCTCCGAAAAATATTAAACATATTCAAATAACCCAATTCAAAAACTAATCGTCCGATCAACATTACATATATCTGTAAATCTAAAGAAAAAACTAACGAGTATCGAAGTGTTAGTTGTCAGTGGCTCTCTCTCAAGAGAATATAGAGTACCGTGGGTTTGGGGGGTGGTCGATACGGCCCTGGGGCCGCGACAGCCGCGTCGGAGGCCTCCCCATTCTTCCTGCGGGCGTTTTTGCTGGCACTCCCCTCTCTATCAGCAACAGCAGCAGCAGCAGCAGGAATAGCACCACCACCACCACCACCATAACCACCACCATTACTATTCGTCCTACTACCTACTACTACTACTACTACTACTACTACTGCTACTACTACTACTACTATTACACCCTACCAAATATACCTGTACCATCAGCATCACAGCAATACAACACACCGTCTCGTTGCCGCTGGTGCTGCCGCCGCCCCCT